CCACCTGCGCCGCGAACACCGCCAAGGGCGGAGACCGGCGAGAGAGGTCTTCCTGTCACCCTGCCTTGACTTACCCGCTGCAGCTGGAGCCCGCTGCACCGCAGCTCGGAGCGGTGTCATTTCGCAGCCACACAGGCAGCGGGGTCGGTTCTGCCCATCTCGCACGGTGCCAGGAACCACCCCGGGCTGCGCGGGGAGCCCCGGCGGAGCCGCGTGTCGCCACCTCCAGGCAGCCACGGCCGGGGCCTCGCGCCTCGCCGGCAGCACGTGCGCCCCCGCTAATGGTTCCGTCCGGGCGCCTCGGTGGTACATCCCACACCGCCTAATGGTCTCGCCCGCCCCGCGCGGGTGGTACATCCCACGCCTGGTAATGGTTCCCCCCGGTTCCCTTCCCTCCTCCCCCACGCGCGGGTGGTACGTCCCACGCCGCCTGCGCTCCATCAGCTCCTCTCCCCGGCGGAAGTGACGCCCCGGCGCTTCCGGTGCGCAGGCAGTAGCGGCCCGGCGGGAGGAGCTCGGGGAAGCGGCCCCTCTGCCGGTGGCGCCTGCCCGCCCTCCCGGCGCCCTGCGCCCACCGGGTAAGCGGGGGCGGGGCAGAGCCCCAACTGAGGGTCCTGGGGGGGCATGAGGTGGGGCGGGTCCCGTTTGGCGGGTGGGGGGGTTCTTTCCCCCCGGCGGCTGGTGCTGGTGCAGGTGCGGAGCGGGGCCTGCAGCAGCGGCCGGAGGCGCAGCTGTGATGACCGAAGCAGAACCATCGCTCGAAAGCGTGGTGGCATCCCTGCCGTGTGGAGCAGGCACTGGACCCTCTGGGAGGCCACGGGCCGTGTGCGCCGGAGTGGAGCCATGCTGGAGTACTGGGTGGCCCAGAGCTGGCAGCGCTGCCTGCGATGACACCAACCCACAGCTGGCAGTCTGCCTGCCCGCAGTGCCCAGGAGCTGAGCGAGCTGCTGGGCGAGGCAGTGATTGTACCAGCGGGGTGCTGCTGCTTGAGAAAACTGAGAGCTGCAAGCCCAGGGGCCAGCAAAAGCAGAGCGTAAAGGCAGCCTCTGTTTGCCATGACAGCCTGAACCTGCAGGGCTGGAGAAGGGCTTTCCTGCCTGGTGGACGGTGCAGCACTCTCCCGGTGCAGCGCTTGCTGGAGATGCTGGGCGCGGCGCTGAGCGTGGAGGAAGGGAGGCAACCAGTTGGGCAAGCTACGTGAGGTCTGTTCCCTTTCTCTGCCAGCTGCTGCGTTTGTCTGCTCCCCTCTGCCTTCCCTGTGACAGCATTTGCCTCTAGCATTCGTTCCTCCTGTTTCTCTGCAGAAATGAGTGTGACGCTCACGATCTACACGAGACCAGCAGGAAGTTTATGATGGGGTCTGGGAGGATTTTAAATGAGGCTGGTGGCTTTGCAAAGCAGCGCCAGGAGAACATTCTGCATATTGGGTCCGTTGCAGGAGGAATGCCTGAGGATGCTTGTACGTGAAATGATTAGTGTCTAGAAGCTAATGGTGGCTAAGCAGAGGGGAGAAGAAGAGGCCAGATTAGTACAGAGGTACAGAACTATAAGTGTCTTGAAGATTGCTACAGGAATTTGGACATGGAAAAGCAAGTCAAAGTTGGGGAGCAGAGAAGGAGGGAGTAAGAGTTTGGCTTTGGTCAAGGTAACTTTGGAGATCAACCTCTGTTGCCATGTCACATGTCAAACATTCTGGGAGCCTCCATCTCCGTCTCCACAGCTTCTGTCAGTCCCTTTTGGCCAAAAGCGTAGAGTGATAAGTGATCCAGGTGTTGTTGGAGGCACAGGTGGAGCTTTGAGATTGGATGGCGGGAGGAAATTTAGGGGCTGAGACTCCAGCTCACCAGCTCAGAGATGGTAGTGGAAGCTATACGAGATGATGAGGCCACTTGTGGAGAGAGTGCCTGCAGGGATACCTGCCAAAAAGGCAGCAGAGGGAAGGAAGAGCATCCACCAGGAAGACAAGTTAAAGGTACTCTCAGTGGGGCGGATGGAGAATCAAGACAGGACGCTGTCATCAGTTCCCAACAAGATCTGAGAGCTCAAGTAGGCGGGTGTTACTTGTCACTGCAGTATCCAATGCGGCAGAGGGGTCCAGAAGACAAAGATGAAGGAGAGGTGCTAGAGTACAGCCAGGAGACCCCATGGAAAATAATTCTGCTGGCAAGACCGGATCCACGATGGAGCTGGAGAAGAGTTTAAGCAGTGGTTGTGGACCGTTTGTTCTGGCACTGGCTGAAAAGGGAGGCGGGACTCAGCAATGGAGGATGGAAGTGAGCAAAGCTAACTTAAATGGTAAGAAAGCCAGGCAAGACCAAAGAGGCTGAGAAGGTGGGAGGCACACAGGCGTAGCTGCAGGACCGGGAGAAGGAGAGAAATGCCTACTGGTAATGGGGAA